TAATAATCTCATCAAATAATTCATCCTTTTTTTAGTTGAGATTCAAAATATATAAATATATAGATAGATAAATAGATTATGTAATTTTTGCTTTGATAGGTGAAAACAAAATTACCCAACTTATTTTTAAGAAAGTTTGGAATACCTAATTTTTAATTTTATTTTAACTTAAAGAAAAAAAAAAGAATACAATATTTCATAGTGAATACAATCAATATAATTGTACACCTGAAGAAACTCTAGGTATTGTATACCTGGAAGTTAATTGAACTTAAGTGCAAGTTACTACTTCAAATTTGTGGAGTCGTAACTAAGTTTTGAGCCAATGGACTTATACCTCTTTATACTAATATTATTCTTATTCGTCTACTAATTTTTTAATTTAGTATTAAAATTTTACCATTAAAATTAAAAACCACAAATAACAATCTACTTGGTTGTTTGAAAAAAATATAAGAAAAAAATACATGTTAATCCTGAATTTTTTTAAAAAGAATTTAATATTAAATTATATCATTTTATTTATTTTAAATTTAATTTAAAATTTTTAAATTTAAAAATTTATCTTATTAAATATTGTTATTTAAATTTTGAAATTGATTAGATTTTTAAATTTTGAATTAAAATTTTAATTTGTAAATATAAGTTGAGACTCTAATATTTTTTTAAAAATTATGACTAATATGCATTAATCTCAAAATATAATAATACTTAGTTAAGGGATCTTTGAATTAATTATTTAAATGCAATTACTACATATAATCATGGTGTTTATTGAAAAGATATTTATTTAGATGTTTTTTCCCATAATTTTTTATAAATTTCGAGTGAATATTATCTTACTTTGATAATTTATTCTTTAATAATAATAATAATAATAATAATATTTTTATTAAAAATAGTGAAAATAAAAAAATATATTCTAACATTAAATGTCTGGACATCCAATCACACCTACATATTAAATAAGATATATCTAAAATCACATTTTAAGATATATTTGGTATAGTGATTTGAAAATAATAGTGAATAGTTTTACTCAAACCATTAAAAAGAAGTGTTTGTTAAATTTATTTATTTTTAAACCACTTCAAATTAAATATTAAGTAAAATTTTTTATTTAGTAGTTTAAAATTAGTGGTTATCGATCATAGTCCAAATGCTAACGGATTGAAAAAGTTCCTTTCTGTATCAAATTGCCAATAAATTAAAATTTTTAAATTTTATTGATAAATTTATTTTTTTATTTTTTGATTTTTGATTCTGATTTTTAATTAGTACTTTTCTAATTAATTTCAACTTTATTTTTTATTTTAATAATATTAAGTAATTATTATATTTTTATTTTTACATTAATTTATCATAAAAAAATATTAACTTAATAAACAAAATTTGTTAATTAAAAAAAAGATTAAAATTTTTTGTACTTTGTTTAAAACTAATATAATTTTTTATTATTATTATAATTTATTATTATTATTATTATTATTATTATTATTATAAAATTAATAATTTTAATAATAAAAATTTTAAAAATACACTTAATTATTTTTAAACATGTATTTATTAGTCATTTAATTTTAAATAACAACTATTAATTATTATATACCCAAACAATTATATACTAATGACCTGTTAGTTTAAGGGGAAAGAGATTGATTACCCTTAAATAAGGTCTCGAATTCAAGTTTTCTGCGTAGAGAAACATACATTGGGAGAGTTTCCCCCCTTACAAGGTTCAATTTGGCTCGATTTCAAATTAATCAATATGCAATATGATTACTAGATATCAAATGATTAATATAAAAAAATAATTATATTAATCAAATATGTTATCTACTATCTACTATCCATTTTTCATTAACCATCACTCGCTATTCGTTAATCGTCACTCATTATTTGTTAACCACCAGCTGCTACTACTATCTACTATTTACTATTTATTATTTAATATATGTTACTTAGCACTCACGATCTATTAAATTTTATCCATTATACCAAATATATGTTATGTATACATACTTTATGTAGTGATTAACACTCCATTTTTCCTTCTCTCTTACAACTAAATTATAAAAACCAACGAGGGGTTGGATCAAGTGGCAAGTGGCTTGTTTCAGCTTAAGTAAGATCTCGAGTTTGAAACTTTGTGTACGCAGTAGCTTTCGTTGGGAGACCCATCCACCATTTTGGTGCGCCACAACTGGTCGAGTCTAGAGTAGTCGAGAGGAAAAGCCTCGGATACCATGCGAGAAACCAAAAAAAAAAATTATAAAAGCCGCATGCTATATAACATTCTGCTTTCTTCTTTTTTTTTTTTTTTTTAAGTTATCAAATTGGAAAATATTTGTTATAGAATAGAGGGATCTTTTCCATTATCAAAATGCATTCTTAATTTATTAATTAGTATGTCACAAATAAGTTTAAATTCTAATTATTTTTATTTTTTTCATAAAAAACCTCCATACTTCATTTTAAAAATCTAACAATGAAGATTGAAAAGGTAAATTTAAAGAGGAAAATAAAAAATCAGAACTTTCTAAAATTTAAAATGATGGATTGTTTATCAAATTATATAAATACTTTTAATACGAAGTAAATATTTTTTATTATATTAATTCATTAAAAATATTTAAGTCTTTTATTTTCATTCTAAATATTTTAATTGTCACTAATATCATATATTAATTTTTCACAACCCCCCCAAAAAAAAACTTAAAGAGTAGGCTTTTTTTAAAAATTTTATTTGAACTATTAGTACAATTGAGGGATAGAAATGAAATTATAATAGTTTAAACTTTAAACTTTTAAATACAACTCTTCTTTAAAAAGTTGTAACTATTAGATCACAATTATAATTGGTTGGGAAAGAATATACCTTTTTCACTTAGACACCAAAAACCAAAAAAAAAAAAAAAAAAAAAAAAAAAAGAGGGGAAAGATCATTAATGAAGGGAAGAATACTATAATGACATTTTTTTCTCTTTTGAACTTGGGCTGGATTTGAATCTTACATTTGTCATAACTCAAAACTAACATGAAAAATCCTTTATAAGAAAAAAGGTAACCACTAACTCACGAGAATATTTTCAACTGTACAATGACATTTTGAATAAATAAGATTATAACGTTTTATGAATTTATGGTACAGACACAATGGTTTAATTAATAATTTTATATAAAATTTATTTGATGAGTTTTGTTTAAATCTCACCAATCTCTTCTTTATTTTCCATCTCCCCTTCCCTTAATAGTAACAAATTGTCTATATTAAAAAAATAAAGATCACAATCTTTCACCTTATTCTTTTTAAATAAAAATATAATATATATTTTTATTAATTAATGGTATTATTTTTCAAAAATTTTCAATAAAAGATATAATTTTTATGATTTTATGAAAAAATAATTAAGTGAATATGCATATGATTATATTTTTAATTTGAAATTTTTGAAAAATAATAATTTAGATTATTAAAATTATAAATATCATATCTTTTTTAATTAAAAATTTTTACAAGGTGAAGAAAGAACGACATCGTTTCGGAAGCGAGTTTTGAATGTAG